TCGAAACTCTAATTAAATATCAATAACTAATCTAAAAAAAACATAAGTTACATTTACAGTAAGAAATTGAAAAAAGGAGTGTTTTTGTTGAACCCAAAGAACTATTCTAGTTAAATCAAGTTCAAATTTGTCACCACTGCACAAAAAACACCCATTCACAAGCTTATATGTGAGCCTGGACCACAAAACCAGTCTTAAGTCGCTGGGGTATATTTGTAGCAATAGCCAAAAATACATTGTATGGGTCAAAATTATAGATTTTTCTTTTATGCCAAAAATCATTAGCTTATGACTGGTTTTGTGGTCCAGGGTCACATATTTTGCTTTTGGGAAAACTGTGATTTGTGCTGTTTTAGGTTTTTGTTTTATGTCTACAGAGTAAAAACTCGGATGTCTTTAACAGAGAACATCTTATCCAACAAGCTCTGCTTTCAAGCCAGGATTTTATCAAGGTAATCACAGCTACTTACTTACTTTTAACATTTTTAGTGTTTTGTTTTGTAATTCGTATGTGTTCGATATATAGGTGTGGACGTGAAGCGTGTCGAAAACTGATTGGCTTCTTTTTCACATGTGACCAAACACTGACCGTGTACGAGTACCGAAATTTTGGTAAAAACAGGTAAGGCTGAATGCTTTGCATTTATACAAATACAACTCACACATACAGTGCCAACAAGGGTTTCTGCACCAAGTACTAAGTCATGTTTTGCTTGGGGATCAAATACTTATTTCACTCACTGAAATGCAAATCAATTTCTAACCTTTATATAATGTGTTTTTTTTCTGGATTTTTTGGTTGATATTCTGTCTCTATCCGTTAAAATGAACCTACCATAAAAATTACAGACCCTTCATTTCTTTGTAAGTGGGCAAACGTACAAAATCAGCAGGGGATCAAATAAATATTTCCCCCACTGTAGTTTTCCTCTATATTTAGGTGTCTGAAAAGCTAATTGTTAATCAAAACTCTTTCAGATGGAACGCACTGCCCTTTATCACGCGTGGTGTGTATTTGAACAGAGGGAGGCCGTACTGCCTGCAGGACATCTCACAGGTTCGACACACTCGTCATCTGTCACACACACACACACATGGACTAATATTAATTCATTAACACTCTGCCTACATCACCCAGGGTGCCGAGCTTCGTTTCTGTACAGACGGCCCACACCTCCCCCAAAGTCTGAGACAGCAGCCGTGCCTGACCCTCAGAGTTACTGATGTGGATGACACAGCCAAGGGAGCCCTGCTGTATGTACCACTCACACACACACACAAGGTTTGTTTTTGTGAATTGTGGGGACATTCCATAGGTGTAATGATTTTTATACTGTACAAACTGTATGTGCTATTGCCCTACACCAACCCTACACCTAAACCTACCACTTACGGGAAACTTTCTGCATTTTTACTTTCTTACTTTAAAAAAAAAATCACTCTGTATGATTTATAAGCGTTTTGAAAAATGGGGACATGGGGTAATGTCCTCATAAGTCACCTTCTCCTTGTAATACCTATGTCATACCCATGTCATTATACAAATTTATGTCCTCATATGTCACAAAAACGCGCGCACACACACACACACGTGTGCACAAGTGAAAGGGCTCAGAGTGTTTCTTTTGCTCAGAACTCAGTCTGGGGAAACTCTACATCATCTCTCTGAAGAGGAAATCAACGATCGAAACACTCTACAGGAAATTCAAGGTTAGTATTTAACACATGCCTTTCTCTTACACACAACCATTTCTTATTGAAATGCATAAATATTCATCCAGAATGTTTCTCACCCACACAAACCTGTTTATAAGGTGGTCATTTTCAATGTTAAAATTGGAACTGTCAAAAATTTTAATCAGATTAATTGCATGACAATCAATCGATAAGGTCTATAAGATTTTTTGTTGTTTTTGAAAGAAGTCGCTTATGCTCACCAAGGATGCTTTTGTGTTAAAAAAATAAAAACAGTGAACAGTAAAATTATGAAATATTATAACAAAGTAACTGCTATCTTTTTTAACATATTACATTTAAAATGTAATTTATTCCTATGATGCAAAGCTGAATTTTCAGCATCATCACTCCAGTATTCACTGTCACATGATCCTCCAGAAATCATTCTAATATGTTGATTTGCTGCTCAAGAAATATTTATTATTATTATCAGTGTTGAAAATACTGTAGTTGTGCTGCTTAATATTTTTGTGGAAACTGTGATACATTTTATCAGGATGAATAGAAAGTTCCATATATATTACATATATATACATGTATGTGTGTATTTATACTGTATATACATATAAATATACACCGTACACACACTTATATTATGTAAACACAAACTTTTATTTTGGAAGCGATTAATCAATTTGACAGCACTTGTTTGTAAATATAATTGTGCAAACAATTATATGTACAAACCAAATCAAATTTATCAATCTGGTCTTGTACCATGAGAATAACATTTTTAAGATGTCCTGTGAAGTTAAAAACCTTTAAAAACACATATTGAGTTACTTGAAATGACACACGTCACCTTAAAGTGACCGTGTACTCTTAGGGCTACATTAATAATAATTAACCAACCAGCCACAGAATGCTTGAATTGGAATCCAGCATTCTGATTGGCGGATGTTTTGCAGGTGCAGTGCGTGATAGGCTGAAGGGACATGCGGTCCGAACCCTGATCAATCTAGGAAGAGATTTACATCTAAAGTCTGATAGTATTCAGCAAAAAGAGCTGCTCAGACAATCTCTGATGGAGCAGCTGTGCCTCACTCAGCAGGTTAAGAGTAATAAAATCATCAATTTTTGCATTTCCCCCAAATATCTATCTATCTATCTATCTATCTATCTATCTATCTATCTATCTATCTATCTATCTATCTATCTATCTATCTACACTCCAGTATTCACTGTCACATGATCCTCCAGAAATCATTCTAATATGTTGATTTGCTGCTCAAGAAATATTTATTATTATTATCAGTGTTGAAAATACTGTAGTTGTGCTGCTTAATATTTTTGTGGAAACTGTGATACATTTTATCAGGATGAATAGAAAGTTCAAAAGAACAGCATTTATTTACAATAGAAATCTTTTTAAGAAATCTTTTTTAAATAGAAAACAAATATCTTTATTGACTCTTTTGATCAATTTAATGCATTCTTGCTGTATAAAAGTATTAATTTCTTTTAAAGTCTTACTTTTATGTTTGTACTAGTACTGTCAAATTGTTTAATCACATCAAAAATAAGTTTGTTTACATAATATTTAAGAAATATTTACGTGTGTGTGTGTGTGTGTGTGTGTATATATGTATATGTATGTGTGTGTGTGTATATATATATATA